TTTAATTTCTCCTAAGCACAAATAGCTGAAGTTTCCACTTTAAACTTGGGTGGCTCATTCATATTTCACTTAATGGTAATATGGTATCCTCTCTCTCTCTCCCCTTTCTTACCACCAAGGCTAAAAAGAAGGAGGGGAGATATAAAATGTTTCTGAAAATTACAGGAAATGTCTGTTCCTTTAACAGCATTGCCAGGGAATTTCCAAATGCACTTAATGCTTATGGCTGAACTTGCAGCAGCTCGGTCTTCGATCATGAATGGATCCTGTTCTAAAAATGTGACACCTCCTTCCAGTAAACTATGTTGAAATTGAGTATGTGCTTTGTTTCTCATCTGCTCTTCAGCATGATTAATTGCGCCCAGTGGTGAAATGAGGGCTCTTGGGTGCTGCTTTAAACTCCTGATTTACTTCTATTCATTACAGTGGGAAAAATAGTATATATTTTCCTGAGCTAGTTTATTTGTAAGGACTTTGGAGAGGCATGAATGGCAGGCACTAGTGAGTGTGAAGATTACCTGCCAGTTTTCAGAGAGACTTCAGAAACTGCACATGAAGCACAAAGGAACAAAAAGGGAGATGCTTTTTGTCCCAGTACTTTGTTTCCTTGGACTGTCACAAGGTGGTCTCTGATCATAGGGTCTTGTATCTAGGCAGAGCCTAATCGGTGTTAAGCACTAGGTTAGTTTTTAATTTCCAGGGATGAGATTAGAAAAGGGGGTAGCAACAAATACGATGAATAGGATGAGCTTTCTCTTCGTTCTCCATTGCCTTCTGTCGGGCTTCTGCTGCTGGACTGGGGGAAGGAGCAAGGGAGATCTGCAGAGCCTCTTCCTAGGGCTTGAGAGGGTACCTGCCAGCCAGAGCAGGCAGGGGGAGAAACGGAGCTGGCACAGTCTTCAACAGATCTTCTCGTCCACCTCTCTCTGCCTTGCTGCTCTCACGTACGTATGCCGATGTGCTAAAGATGGACAAGTGAGAGGATCTCCAGCCTGGGACCTCCTAGGGACAAACATGCAGGTCCCAGTCAAGGTGTCCATCGCAGTGAGCAGAGCATGGTCTGGATAGCAAACTCTTTATGTGTCCGGAGGGCTCTAGATCCATGTTCTGCTGTTGACGTTTGCAAGGTATTTAGAGCAGTTGCCTAAGGACGGCAAGGTGATTCTTGTAGCTCCTTTCCTCGCAAGATGACGTGGGTTTTGAATCTGTTCACCGACTCATAATGGGCTCAGCCCTCTGCTGCGGTGGCTCTTCATGGTATCATTTGCTCTGTGGTTCGGAGCCACTCCTGGATTTCCTAACAAGGCAGTGCTTGGCAATAATTTATTGTCATGGTTTATGTTACAGTGATTAAGTGGAGCTGTCATCTCTTGATAGCAATGATTTGAATCTTGTTTTTAGCTGCCCAGGAAACGGTTTGGAACTGACACTGTGTTTATTTTTACTTCCTCGTGTGAAGGTTATAATTTAATTTGTTCATGTAGAAACAGCAGGTGCTTTGTATAGAGGTTGTACGGGTATGACTATACGTAATGATTGGTGATGCCAGTGTAACCAGTTTCCAGTGTTGGCTTTTTTAGCGTGTGGGGAGGTGGGATTAATTACCCAAGATGTTCTGTCTCGTTAGTCTTTGTCCATGCAAAATACATCTGTAATCAGAGTGACTTATGGCAATTGCCTATATTAATAGATACTAAACAAGAATTTGTGAATTTGCTCGAATTCATGCAAATGCATCACCCATGAATGCTAGTTACAGATTAGTTTTCTAGCAGGGACATGTGTCAAATTGTTTGGAAGGCTACTGTTGGTTGGGTTTTTTTGTTTGTTTGTTGTTGTTTTAAGAATCTCCAACTTTTTTCTTTTTAAAGATAGTGGAGAGATTTGCTGTGGGGTTTTTTCTTTTCTTTTAGAAAATCAGTATAACATAACTTTCTATTTCATACCCTTTCCATTTAAATGAACGCTAGCATTTATAGATCTCTTCTCACCTAGGTTTTCATGTGTTTAGGGAATTTTACAGCAAATCACTACACTGAAAGTGTGAAATTCCTTTTCTGGTTTGTTTTTTTTTTTTACTTGTAATAAGGATTTTTATTTTTTTAATTTATGTTCCTGTGTTTAGGTATTTCCCTCTGCTGGCCTTTGTATGTGGACTACCCTCTGTCATCCTGTTCAGCCCATTTAGATTTTGACTTAAATGTAGGTGAGTAATTGCTTTTGACGTGAAACAATAATGAATTAATATAAAAGTACTCCAGAATTTTCAGTTGCTTTGACTTGGAAGTCATACAGGGAGAATCATCTTTTAAAAATCCAATGAAACTTTTACTGGTTGCCTAGTGTCCCAGGCAATAGGAAATTAAAAATGTTATGTATTATAGTATTTGTTTGGAGTGGATTAGGTAAGCTTTCATTCTGGGTGTCACAAAACTATATGCGGTGAACCTACAGTGAAAAAGAATTTTGAAATGGAAAGAGCTTCTTGCTTCTATGGGTGGAGAAGGGAGTCCCCAAATAAAGTTTCTGAGCTGTTGAATAGAGTGATGTAACATATCTACAGCATGTGCTGACACTTCCTATGAGCTCACATTCTATCAGTCAGGTTTCCCTGCTGTAACATGTAATAAATGTTTATTATTCTACAGTGAATGTCAAAGAGGTTGGCTTCTTGGTAAATGCAAGTGATAATAATCTGGCTTATTGCTTAGAGTGGGTGATGGTGCATGGATGATCTTTGCAAGAACATTGCACATATTTGGGGGCTATGTTGAGTAGGTCAGCAATATATAGTGTTTTGGTGGTCTGTTTTTTGGGTTTGTTTTGGTAGTAGAACACATTATATTATTTCAAATACCACTATTTGTATGAAAAGCAATATCTTACTGTTATCTAAATGGAAGGTCCATTCATCTTGCTTAGCCCAGCTATCTTAGAGTGCTGGTGGTAAAAAAGTCACTGAGCAGTAGGTGTAGAAATAGAGCGAGCTTAACAATCTAAACTGGAGGTGTTTTATGCAGCTTATTCATGGGAAGTTGATCTCCTTTCTGGCTTTATCTCTCCACGTCTCAGTTTTCAGATTGGTGAGCACAATCACAAGTGGGGTTACTTTTCTTTAGAACTAGTAATCAAAACTGAGTAATTAATCAAGTAGGATGAAGGACAATAGAGTACTGAACAGAAAATTCTCCTTCATCTATTTTTTTCCAATGGATTGTAGTTGCCTTTCTCATGAACTTACAGTGTGTAATCTAAAATGCATGTGGCTGCTGTTTCTACAAGGAAGAGAAAATTAACACTATTCCATTTTGACTGTGTATATAGATCTAAAGTACAGATGTGCTGAAAGTAGGAGAGGAGGGAGCAGCCATTCTGATCATACAGATAAGCAGAGGAAAGCAGGGTGAAATTCTTAAAAACTGCTTCTCTTTTATGAACATGGTACGTAAGTGACATTTAAAAAAAAAAAATAGTTTGTGTTTCTATTTGAGTGACTTCCTTGCTGTTCTCCACTCTTGCACCAAAGTAGAGTGTGCTTGGGAGGGTGGGGGAAAGTCTGCGTTCTTCCACCCCCCAATGAATGTGAGGAAGTGATGTGCTTATGAGGTGATGACACTTGCCTGAGTCATCTGAAAAGCCAAAAGACACCCTCATTCCCCTCAGCTGAGGAACATGAGCCCTTGTTAATACATCTCTTCTTTTAAATCACAAGTATTTGTAATCTCACTCCTGTGTGGTCTGCACAATGGCAGGCAAGATGTAGGCTTCTTGTGACCTCATTTACATTCCCCCCCGCCCTCCCGACTTTACAGTTTATTACACAGTTGTCGATCTCTGGAATTTATTGGCTTGCTTGCTGAATTCAGAAGTAGTATAGCCATTCCTCGCTTTCACTAGAAATCTTACTTCTCTTGTGCTCCATAGACGCTTTGTGTTTCTTGCCACTGATGAGTAGCAACTTGAGCAACGATCGTCCCTCTCTCTCCTTGATTGTCACTCAGTCTCTAGTAGCATAGGTTACAAGCATCTGTCCAGAACGACTTTTATTTCCATCTTTCTGAGGCTGGTGAGGGAATGCTGTGGCTGTCATATATGTTGGGGGGGAAAAAACATCTCGCAGGAGTGGGAATTCACCCTGTGATCCTAGATCAGGAGTTCCTCTCTGATGCAGGAGTTTGTGTAGGCTTGTTTGTTGAGTATCATGTGTGGCTGTGGTGGTAGGGGCTGGCGCTGATGGTATTGGCACCAGCTATTGAACCACTGGCAGCTCCCAGCTCAGTAACGCTGAAGCCAAATACTCCTTTGAAAACAGCTGATGTGCCAGCAGTGGCATGTGTCCTGCAGTTTAGGAACTCCTGCCTCTGTGTTTTGATTCAGCTTTTGGATTTCTTTTTTGTGCTAGTGTCCATCCTGAGAAACATGAAAGAGAATTTGTAGTGGAAGATAGTGTTTTCCTCATACGTGCATGTGTTTGCCTCTAGAAAGTGGAAAAATACATGGTTTTAAAAATCATGTGTCTCAGGCCGAGTATGCAAAAGCTGCCCTTCAGGACCTTTTAATGTTCAGATGCTGTAAAGTTATTTTGTTGGCGTTTTGCCATGCAGCAGTAATGTATGTGGGAGCATTGCTGTAGTCACCTGACAAGGCAGGCATTAGTGATGTCAGGAACAAAATTGCTGAGCATTTATGACACCAAGGTTCAACTTCAAGGTTACCTTCTTACGTAAGGTAGAAGTCTTTCAGAGATTGTAGCAAGGCTTCTAGAAGCTCTCTGCCAGTTCCTTAACTGAGGTAAAATTAGAGTGTTGTTCTGAGAGGTTTTTAAAATATATTCTTGCTGCATCTGCCTCTTTAAAAATAGTTGCTATCATGTGAGACAAAGCCTGAGAGAACTCCAACAAGTGTCCTGCTATGATGTAAGGGAATTGCTTTGAGTTGAAGTCGTAGAAGTAGAAATTAGGAGTGCATACAAAATGTGAGTTATTTTGACTGAAGAATCAAACATACAACTTAAGTGCCAGGTTTCCAGTTCTGTGGTTGCCTGCTTCACTCCATCTGAGCCATTTGGGATGGGGACAGGAATCCCTGAGGCGAAGAGGGATCCTGTAGTTCTGTGGCAGCATTACACGTACATATTAGAGATCCACTGTTGTTTGTATGGAAGGTAGTAGGGTTTTTGTTGTTTTGGTTCTTTAAACAATATGGAGAAACTGTAAAGATACCGGGCAGGTGTGGAACAGGTCTTTTTAGTTTTACAGTGAGTTAAAAGTTTAATTTTCTTCTTTAAAAGAAGAAGTAACAAGCAGTGACACGTGTTGCAGTCCATCTACAAGGAGGAAGAAGAAGCCATGCAGCGTGTATGTGAGTGACTTCATGCAGTATTCTCATAGCTCGATTACAGCTCACTTTTCCATAATCCTGATTTCAGTGTAGAACATCCTGTGACTAGATGGTTTCCTACCTTGAAGATCAGCAACATAATGGCCTATTTAGGGCAAAGCATTATATTGCATCATTTTATGAGACACTAAGGTGTCAATACAGACCATTGCGATCTAAGTCACAAGTAGCACAGCAGAAAGAGAACAGTCAAGAAATTGAATTTTGCCTTTTTACAAACTATGATTAGAAATGAAACAGATATTTCAACACCTCATAGTAGCTGAATGGTAAGAGCAGTCACCAGGAAGGGGAGGAGAGCTCTAGTCTCTAAAGCAGGAGTCTGCCAGTTTCTCTTGCTAAGATAGGTCACAAGGAAGAGTCCCAAAGTCTGACAGTACCAGAAGCAGAGAGAATTAAAACAAAATAAAAACCTGTAATTGATAAAAACGATGTTCCTCCCCTGCCCAGTGGAGCTGTTCCTGTCAAAATGGGATTTCAGTCACAATAACTTGAGGTGACATTACTGTTAAGTTTATTACTTTCAAGCCATGGGCAGAATGCTTTCAGAAACTTAACACATAGCTATAAGTTAAGGTAATAGCGTTATTTAAAAGGATTCTTGACTGGTAGCCCACTTGCCTTATGTTCTTTACATGCTCTTTACCCAGTCACCATATATGACTGGTTTGAGTTCTTTTTAAGGTTCTTCTGAAACAAACTTCTATCATATGAGAGTGAAGGCTGAGACAGCGAGCAGTAAGCATTTAGAAGATAAGAAATATACCCAAACTGAAAGTTGCAAATTAAAGATTATGCATTTTTAACAGCCTCCGTTTTAGAGTTCTATAGTTTCTCAGCTGCTTTATTTTCCTGTTATTACTTGGACTTTAAGTGAGCAATTTACTCATCAAAACAAACTGTCTCGTTCACGAACAAACTGTCTAGCTCACAAAAGAGCTAGAGCCAATTCCCATTAGAGCCAGTGGAAAAGTTTTCATTGAGTTCAGTGGGTTTGGTATCTGGCAGCCTTTGATACGAATAAGAGAATCAAAATTCGTGACAGGACATGTTAAGAGAAATAAAAAAATTGCAGAATACTCTTTTCTCTCTGAAAAAAAAATGGACACAACTATCAAGTTTCACTATTTTCCCCCCTTGCGTAATGGCATAATCTTTTGATACCTTCCAGCCTGTCTACAGAGAGCCTGAGGCCAGTATATAATGACTGCTCTTTGAGGGGGAGCACACCTGCCAGCCAGGTTGCAAAGATAGGGTGGGTTTTTTTAATAGGCTTAATTAAGGCTTGGTATAGTAACTTTTCCAATAATTTTTCTAGTTTAGAGCAATATGCGTTTCACTGCTATATGCTTCCATCTATCTGGGCAAGCTTAAAAGCACTGGCTGTATAGCAGTAGAGTCAGGGCAAATAGGTTAACAAAATGTGATTTTCTAATGGCTGTTCATGAGAAACCTGGTGTTTTTACTGTATTGCTACATGAAACTCTCATAAAATAAGTTTCTTTCAGTTTTCTTTTTTGGGTTGTTAAAGTGAAGTTTGTACTTTTTTCAGAATTTTATTTATTTAAGATTTTGTATATTTAGATTTGTGTAATATATCTAACGAGCAAAACATCTGCTGACCTGGGATTTCCCATTGCTAAACACAACTGACCTGTTGCTGTAACAGGACTTTTAATAAACTATATAAATTAGTAGAATTCATGACTTCTCTTGCAATTAAGATATACAACAAACATTTCAAACTGAAGCATGTAAAATTATTTTATAAGTAAAATGCAAGTTTTGCAGCTGAACCTGGTTAAACTGAGGATGTAAATTTTTTTTGAATATATAAAATCTTCATCCCCATATGTAGCTGTATGTGCATTAAGAATCTGGCAAAACTTATAACTTGCTTCTGTTTAGAAATGTTTCGCTGTCTCAAAACTGTCAATCAATTGAATTTTTTTTTTTTTTTCATCTGGCCACTTCAGTTTTGTGACAGTTGTGTTACTTTGCTTTGTCCCAGCCAGCAGAAAGCAGAGGTAGAAAGGCTGCTTGGGTCACAGGCTCGGTGGCATGGGCCAGAACTGATACAAGACTCGCTTGAAGGTACACTTTGCCCTGTGCAAGAGGTGTTGCATAGTTTTGTGACCTAAAATCGCTTCCCCAAACAGGAAAAGGGAATGTGATGGTGTGAGACATGCAAACTGGAGAAATGTGGTTTCTTGCTGAGCCAGCTTTACCCTGCACCGATTTGAGCCCAGATTGCTCATTTCCAAACATTCTGCCATACTAACGAGGTGAGGAACTCTGTCAGGCTTGTCCTTTCATGTATGGCTCTAACCTGTGAGCTCCGCCACCTCGGTTGAAGAAGTCACCACCCTCAGCTGTCTCCTCTTGCTGGAGTTGATTACCGAGGCAGCTGAACATGTGGCTTGTGTTTCCTCTGGAGTTGTTGTTTGCAGCCTTACGTAGACGGCTATCTCTGTAAATATCCACGATTGCACTAAGAGACCAAGTTTTGAACTGTGGGAGCAAAGCAAGTTGACTCATGTTTTCTGTTGGATCTATAGCTGCAGCACTATATGCACTAAAGTGCAGCTAAATTCCTTATGGATGAAGCTCCATGGTGGCTCCTTTCTGAGGAGTGTTCCTACAGGGACTTGTTCCATCAAAGTATATTTTGGGAGACTCTGAAAAGCCTGAGGACAACTGTGGGCAGTAATACAAATAGGTGGTGAAACATGTCAGGTGTTTTTACTGCTCTGCTGCTGCCGCCGTTTTGGCTGATGTGGTTCAGATGCTGTCAGGATCTAATTTTACAAAAGTATGGTTTGCTTCAGATATTATTTATCATGTGTGAAAAGTGTAATGTACCTCATGTAACTGTCCCACCTGCTCCAGAAGGGCCAGAGACAGTGCTCACTGCTTTACCTTTCAGTAGTGTATTCACGAGGCCTCTGTTTCATGTCTGGTGATTAATTCAAATAAAATGCTTGTGTCCTGATGTAGCATCTTGTTCTTCTGGTTTCTTTTCAACCATGTTCTTAGAGAGGTGGATGTCCTTTCTTTTGTACAGTTTCAGTTCCCCGACTTGCAGTGCTGGTTTGTGAAATGCTTTCCAAGGCATTAAACTTTAAAAATATATCTTAACTAATTTTACAACTTCTTACTAAGTGGTGAAGTGCTGAAACGCATCTAATTAGTTTTGCTATTGAAAGGAATACCATGATTTAGGGCAGTATCTCTTAATTATATTCTAACAAAGTCTTGTGAAGAGGCAGAGCTAGTGGCAACAAAAGTCTGCAATTAAGACAGGGTACGTTGCCTGAAATACAAGATAATTGTCCAGGCAAGATCGTTGGAAGAGATTCAGAGACTGTAGTTGCAAATACTCTCTCTAGGTGTTTGGCATATACAGCAGAGAGGGGAACTTCTCAGGAGTGTATTTATTATATGGTACAGACCAGTGTGCAGTTAGCCTCAAAGTTGAATGTTTTGTTCTGCAAACTTTCATGGCCTCATCTGGTTTATGTTTTTTTTTTTTTTATCTTCTCCTTCTTACAGGCTCTTAGTCCGGTGTAAAGCTGATGGGTGGGAGCAAAGGTAAAGAATGATGTAATGCAGCAGCAGCCAGAAAGCATCTTTTGTTTGAATTGTGAAATGGCTACTCCATAGTCATCTCCTGATGAATCAGATGTGAGGGGCTGCTTTGTGGAATGAACCCTTTGTAACGGCACATCAACTGGAAGCAGGAGGAGACATTCAGTTGAAGAGCTCTTTCTGAAAATGGGTTTAACTTTTCTTTTGCCAGTCACTACCAGCATGACCTCATACACTTCTAGTACAATGGTGTGGCTAAGCCTTTGAGTACACAGCCATTACATCATCGCAGCAAATTAGAGAGGGAGGTGGTGAAAGAGGCCTTATTGTTGTCATGGCCGATGAGATGATCAGGACTCAACTCATTGTCGCCGAGAAGTTGGTGGCTTTGCTGGAGAGTGGTACAGAAAAGTTGTTGCTGATTGATAGCCGCCCCTTTGTGGAATACAATACGTCCCACATCTTGGATGCCATCAACATCAACTGCTCCAAGCTTATGAAGCGGAGGCTGCAGCAGGACAAAGTTTTGATTACAGAGCTCATTCAGCATTCAGCAAAACACAAGGTAGGAGTCATTTTCCTGTTATTCCTTGTATTTGTTTAAAAGGGTGCCTGGAAAGCAACTTGTAATAATTTTCCCTTAGGTATTTTGTTTTAAAAAATTAAAAATTAAAATTTAAAAAATTTTTGTTTTTAAAAAAAAGCAAAATTGGGGGACTGAGTTTTGCCGAGCTCTGACCTGGTTTAAGAGGCTCTTGGTTACTACTGAGTTGATCTTTGGGATTGTTTGTAGCCTGCTCTCCCCTAAGTGACAGAGTGATGGGGAGGGATTTAGAAATTACTCAGAAAGAATGCTCTCAGGGTTCTTGTATGTCTTGCAAAGCACAGTCCCTTAAATGTGTGTAATTAAGCCAGGAAACATGCTCATTCTAAACTTCGAAGGATTCTTTGGGGTCTGTGGTGGTGGGGATTGCTTAGCAAGTGGTCGTACTGTTTGCAAGGAAACTGTAGCTCTGTCAATCCTGGCTCCTACTTGCTGTTTAAAGGACTTTTCGTGTGAGTAGTTTGATGGGTTTTTGGTTGTTGGTTTTTTTTTTTTTTTTGGGGGGGGGGGGTGTAGTGTTACTAGTGAAAAGAAAATAGCTAAGCTGTTTAAACTTAATGTGTATCTATGTGTGTTTTGTTTTTTAATCCATTGGTATTTGTTTCAGATTTTTCAGTTACTAAAGTAATCTATTACATTCTTACTTTGACATGTTAAAAATGGAAGCCTATTATTATTACTACTGCTACTATCTAAAGCATATTTTATACATAAAGTTCTACAGATGGCTAAAATGTATATGGTTTTAGGCGGTTCAAAGTCTCTTTACTGTTTATACACAAAAAACCCAGAAGCAGAAACTGAGGTAGGGCCTTCTTTTAAAACAGCTTAGTTTTTAAACAAACCAACCAACCTAGCTGAAGGTAGAGCATTTTACAAGTGACATATAATTACCTAATAGTAGAAACTTAGGGAATATACTTCAACTTGGAGCAAATAATCAATTTACAAACTCTCAAAGGAATTAGATCTGATCAGGCATATTAAGTATAAAATAAAAACTGCTTTGCATACAGCTACAGAAATCTATGTATCTGAACTGCTGCATAGCAAATATGTGGGAACCCTGATGCAGGTGATAATGTGGTGCTTTTTATCATCTTCCTCCTTCCTATCTTACTCTGAATTACTTGTGTTTCAGATTGAAATTGATTGCAAGCAGGAAGTGGTGGTGTATGACCAAAGCTCTAAAGATGTGACCTCCCTCTCATCTGACTGCTTTCTTACTGTGCTCCTGGGCAAACTGGAGAAGAATTTCAGCTCTGTGTATCTGCTTTCAGGTATGACATACCAAGAGAAAAACCAAAACACTTGAATAAGGAGAAGAAAGGAAATGCTGTCGTTACAGCTGACACGAACACAATTTTGCAACAGTGCTGGTATAAACTTCAGTTATAGCATAGCTTTTTCTGTAGTTCTTTATGCAGATAGTGACGCTCATAATACATATAATGCTTCAAAATTGCATCTTACAGGGGATATATTACACCATTAGTGCTGTGTAAATGGAAATTGATCAATACAGGGTTTTTTAGATGTGTATGTCTGCTATTTTAGGGTCAAAAATAGTAAAAGAAATGTGCTTCCCTGGTCTTCTAAGTATTGTATGTGCTAGGAGGAAAACCTCTTCCTTGCTGAATTTGTAATACTACAATAAGAACAAGAGAAACCATCTCCCAGAGTTACGGAGATTATTTTGTATGACTTTTTAAACTTCAGCTCCTTAAGCGGTAGTACTCTATTAGGTCTTCTCCCTCATCCCCACCTTTTTTCTTTCTCTCTCCTTTTTTTTTCTTTTTCTTTCCCAGATCCCAGGTCAAAGCATCCATAGAAATTCAAGTCCCTATAATACAGGATTTGTTGGTTTTAACGTGTGCTTGTGTTGTTTTTTCTGTCATGGAACAGTAGACACAGTGTTCACAAGAAGGAACAAGGAGGGGCATGAAGTAGATCCAGGGCTGAAAGAAGAGGGGATGACAAATACAAGTAGGAAATCCATTGCAGTGACTCGATCAGTGATGTATTGAAGTGTATCTGTAGTCTCTGAAATGTTAAAACTACAGTCAGAGACTGAATAATGCTGAGGAAAATGGAAAGAACTCCAGAGAGATGCTTTCTCTTAGCAAGAAGGTTTCACCGAGGTTTGTAGTGACTTCAGATGAAAGTGATAGGGAGGTGGTTGTGTTACTGAGAGAACTTTTCCCAAACTATTTTGAAAGTGAATACAGAGAAAATTAATAATTTCTGCGCTTGGGCAGGTCATTTGGTGCTCGTGTGAGCGGTACTTACAGAAAACTAAGTAGGGTTTTGCTTTAGCTATGTTTGGTGCTTCCATTTTCTTTGCTCTCTTGGTAAGAATTACATGTGTGGGTTGTGGACTACAATATTAGATTAAATAACTCTTCTTCCATATGAGCCACCAAGTAAATGTATGGTGTCTAGGCACAGTAAATGCTTAATGAAAGATCGCTGAAATATGTGGTTAATACTCCCTTAAATTTAAAACTGTTATTTAAAAAATAGACCAGTCTAGAAGCAGTTCATGCCTCTTAAGAAATCCTTTTATTGTTTGAATACCCAACTCTGCTCATCTGTCCTGAGATTTTTTTTTGATAACCGGAAGCATATTACAGCTGCATGCAGCAATACAGACTATTTGCAACTTGATTTCCATGGTGGAAAGAGAGACAGCTATCTAATAACTAAGAATTAGACCTCATGGCAGGGAGGAGTTGGGGGGGTGGAAATCCTTAATAAGGTCAAGCAAAGGAGAGTGTCACAAAACTTCCCTTCCTTCTACTGTCCCTCTATAGATTAGTTGCGTGAGACGTGGCTTTGATCTTCTTTTTCCTCTGCTGGACCCTGTGAGGGAGGTGGTCACAGTGTCGCCATCCTCAGACTTCCCTGTGGCTCCTGTAGGAATGGACAGTACCAGGAAGGGAGTGTTCCCCAGCTCCTCAGTGCATAGTCTGGGCAAACACCAGTTGCATGTATCTTAATGATACTGTGAGAAATTGCTTTGTTTTGGTGGGGTGGTTTTTTTTTTTTTTCCTAGCGTGTGGTGGTTGTCTGTTCAAGCTGAAAATGCAACTTAAACCACATGCAAGATACTATTGCACATTAGCTAGCTGAGGTGAACTTAGCCACGTGCAGCTGGTAAGGATTAGTTTGGGTGAGAAAAGGAATCTAATGTGTTAAAACCCTCCTTACGGAAAGCAGGATTTTTATTTTAGCATGTCAAATGCATTTCTCTTAGCAAAGATTAGATTTGAGAATTTCATCTTCTTTTTGGTTAAATAGCTAGTGATGGTGATATTTATGAATGCAGAAACAACTGATAGCTTTAAAACCAGTGGTAGAGGAGTATAAGAAGAAAAGGGAAATGTAAAGAAAGTGTTTACTACTGATTTATTACAGGTAAGTGCTTATTTCAGGAAATATACCCAACTAAGATGAATTTGTAGTAAATTAACATCAACTCTATTCCTTCAGCTCTCTAGCATTTCCTCCTCTTACAATGAGTTTGCTCTGATTTTAATCCTTACATAAGAAAACACCTTTCACAGTCCTGTTGTTTTCTTACATCTATTAAAAAGCTAGCTACTTAACAAACAACACACGAAACCTTTTGGGATGTGGGGTGAAGGAGAAGGTGCTAGATTCAGTCTTATAGAAAGTTCCTTGGAGGCTATTGATACATGGCTCTAGGAAACTAGATAAAATGTGATGTCTCAGCAAGCCGATGACGAACTCTCGTAAACGTTTATGGCCCATAATGAGAGTAGGGGTCAGTGCACTGTGTAAAAAGAACGACCTTTGGACTTGAGTTTTCCCTATGCCACTCAGTCTGGTTTATTTAAAATAGTGACCTTAAACAAACATTTTGGGGTAGGAAAATATTTTTTTGTTGGGATAGAATAAGGAGCAATTAACAAATGTCTGAAATTCCTGCATCTGTTCTTCCTGCCTCCCCCCATTACTGAGCACTCAGTGAGGTGGTTTTTTATTTAGGTTGTGCATAAAGGTATGCTCTACCCTGGAGGTTGTTTTTCATTGAAGTAACTAATGTAAAGACCTCAAAGGAACCCTTACCAATTAGTTTAAGCTCTTGATCTAACCTCATAAAAATATTTATAATCTGGTGGGGAATGTTCTCAGGAATTTAAATATTTGTTTTGGTTCTTAATTTTTAACAGTGCGCAAAATACTGAGATGCGGGTACTGAAGGCTTAACCCCACTCCTATCACTGCATCTACTTCGCAGAGTTAAATAAGATTTAAACACAGGGATGTGACTTGATTCCTTCTCTTCCCATATTTTGAGAACTGGGCTTACTTTTATGGAGTCCTTTTCCTAGTTACAGTATTTTTATGATGTTTCTGCTTGCTCTGTAGAAACAGTTAAGAGATACTACTGATTCTTGCTTGATGAATTAGCATTAAACGCTAATTTAATTAGCAGTAAATGCCAAGAGACTTGCTTAAATTCTATTCCACTATGCCAATGGAAATCATTCATGTTTTACTTGCTCTTCCCTACTTCTCTTAATCTGGCTTACTCCTACTCGTGCAAGCACAGATGTCTTTGTGATGGTTACCTTTCAAATGTTGCCTGTGATGAAGATGAAGCACAGCTTTTTATTTTGTGGGGTTTTTTAATTTTCTTTTTTGTACAGAAGACACATGCTAAACAGAAGCGTTTCTGAAAAAACAGAAATGCCTACCTTTCTGTATTTCTAACCTGAAATTAAAAATTGTAATAGCCTAACACAGAAACACTGTACTGGCTCTGAACTGAAACCAAAAGCAAGAATTCGTATACTCAGGTGGATGTGGAGCAACAGTAAATGTTCAAGAAGGACTAGATAAACTTCAGAGTACTGTAATACAGGATCATAAACAGTTTCACTGAACTCTCTAAGAATTTGTAGTGCTGCAAGACCAGAGTGTATTTTGCCAGCAAACCATGAAGGACATATTTTTCTGTGAGTCACTGAATTGCCACTTAGACTTGATGTACTGTGATATTCAGTGCCACTGAGAACAACCAATATGGAAAACTTACATAATGCACCAGATTATAAAGTGTACGGGCAGAAGAGGAGTTAAATATACTGGAAGCCTTTTGTGAGCTTCTAGAATTGCCTGTACAGTTTCACCCCCCGAGTGCCTGTATGCTAGATTTGTACGTGACTGTATTCCACTGGGGCCATGCCTTTCATTAAACAGCATTCACCTGATCTGTAGATGTAATCAAGGTTGTGCATGCTTAAATCTCGTCTGTAGAAAACTTGCTTCACGGTTGGAGATGAAGCTGCCATCCTTCAGTCAGATGACAGCTGTCTTGAAAAGGGGTCCATAAACTTCTACGTGCCACTTACTACACAGGTTGTCTGTATAATTCAGAGAATTACTAGTAGAGAATTACAGACTTTCTAGGTGCCCAGCATGAAGCCCGCATCTGACTTGCAGAGACACTGAGCACCGAGCCAGGGAGCTGTACGCCTCCCTCCCAAAACCACGGTTGGACTGTGGGTACAGCCACCATGTAAAAAAGTGGTGTTGACAGGTAATCGAGGCCCAAGCGGTGAATTGCCTACTAATCTCTGCTACCCTTCTGCCTATGAAAAATGTCAGCAGTAATGTGATTTAGCGGATTTTGCTTTCACAAGAGCTCTCTGATAAGCTTCTACAAAGCACAAAGCTACCATGATAAGCAGAAAGACATAAATTATTAATTTTCTATTCAGTGATGAATGCAGGTGACATATGCAGTGGACAGTGAATGAAGTCATTCATAAGCTGAGTGAGTATGTAAAGAAGCAGCAAACAGAATGAGTTCAGTGAGATTGGGCAAAGGTCCTGGAAACAAAAAAGTGAGTGATTAGCCAGGGACTGTTGCAAAAGGTATGTTTTTGCTGAAACTTCCCAAATCATTGTTTCTCCCTGACCTGTCCCTCACCTAACAAAGTGTGTGTACAAAATGGAAGACTTGCATGGAGGGTGCAAAGAGAAGGAAATAAGTCAGGAACTCTTCTACAGTCTTGTTTATGCTGGCATTTTCCTTAAAAATATTTGAAATTGGAAGCCCATTTAAAGGAATCCTAGTATAAAAATGCCAGTATCTCTACGGTAAATTTACCATTGTGTTGTCTCTACTTGCCTAAAGCAAAGCTGGACGGAAAAAAAGCCTAGTGCTCTCTGCCCGCTTTGTCACCAGAAGAACCATGCCTTGTGGCAGAGGAGCAGGAGATCTTAAGAATATTCTTTTATAGGTAGA